TCTGTGCAGAAACTTTTTAGTCTGATGTAGTCCTACTTTTGTTTTTTTAGTATATATTTCATTGTATTCTTCAACTGTAAAATCTGTTTGGTTCTTTTTAATGTTTTCTACCTCTTTGTTGAACAATTGGTCTTGTATTATTTTCCTGATGTCGTTACATTGTTTCTCTTTGTTCTCCTATAGCTCTCTGAGCATCTGCAGAGGAATTATTTTGCATTTTCTATTGGGCAGTTCCTGTCCCTTCATGTCTTGGGGGCCAGTTACTGGAGGTGGAGTCATGTCTCCCTGATTCCTTATGATCCCCGTGTCCTTTTGTAGACACCTGCACGTTGGAAGAAGCAGTCATCTCTTGCAGACTTTGTGGAATGACTTCAGTAAGGAAGGATTTTCAGCCATGGAGGGGAGAGGGGGAATGCCAAGTATGCCATGAGCCCAGGTGTCGTGGTATAGGGGGGCAGGTGTGGGGACAGGAAGTGGACTGGGTCTGGGGGTAAGTGTGACTCGTCGGCTCAGGCTGTTGCCGTCCACAGTGCGGACAGCTGGGTGGTCCTTTGTGAATGCTGCAGGAGTCTTCAGAAGCTGCAAGGCTGATGGGGTCCTCAGCATTGTCTTCATGTGGGGCAGCAAGGCCTCGGGCAGGCAGTGGTAGTGGCCTGTGCTGGTGGTACACATGTGCTTGGCTCCGGGCCAGTTGCAAACACACACATAGTGGTGGGGCCCAGGACAGGAAGCAAGGGTGGGGCTAACTGTGGACACATCTTCAGCTCAGAAGCCCTGGCTGTCAGTGTGCATCACTGTGGCTTCTGGGTCTCTCGCTGCTGGAACACAGCAGTGGAGCTGGTGACAGGCCAGGGGCGTGCTGGGGCATGGTTGGAGGGGCTAGGTGCAGGTGGGGTGAGGGCAGTGGTGCAGGTCAGAGATAGAAGATGGCCTGATCTGGGCCCACAAGCAGCTGTGGGGAACCTACCGTGGGCGTGCTCTCCTGTGGCTGTACTGTCTCCCTGTGAGTGTGCAGATGGCAGTGGAGGGTGCTGACGATCAGGGCTGGGAGAGCGCGGGTGTACGGCTGGAGGTGCTGGCCCTGGGTGTGTGCGTGGTGGTGAGTCCGAGCCCCAGAGGTCTAGGCTGGTGTCTCAGCCACGGAGGCTTCTGCTGGTTCCTGGGCTCCCATGACGGTGGTGGTTGGGGCAGGAAATGGGGAGGGCCTCAGGCAGCTGGCATCAGTGAGTGCCAGGGGTGAAGCTGGTGAAACCTGCAGGGTGTCCGTGGGGGCTGTGCTCGCCGTCAGTGGTAAAAGCTGCTGGGCTCCTGAGTGGAGCGGGCTGGGGGCTCTGGTGACTCACGCTCCGCGGCTGATATGGGTAGCCCTGCTTTCCCGCCTTGTTCCTAGCCGCCTGGGTGGGGTGAGATCCAAGCAGATCCTCTGTGCCGTGTCAGGAAAGGTTAGTTAAGTTGTCTCTCACCGCCCTCTTCCTTCTCTCTTTCTAGCTGGGCAGTTGCACTGAGCCACGCTGGCTTGGGGGTGGGGTGGCGCAGACACAGTGAAGCGGTTCTTTTCATTTTTGTGCAGTTATTCTCAGGTTTTTCATCCCAGTGTGTTGCTGAAGTTTTTAAAGTGGACTCCAGAGCTGTCCCAGGCAGCTGTTTTGTGGACAGCTGTTTAATTGTTGGTCTCTGTTGGGGAACAGAGGCTAGGGTCTCTTACTCAGCTGTTTTGGTGACGTCCTTAGATTCTTGGGTACAAGAGTTTTCATACCAGTTTTGTTTGTAATAGTCCCCAAAGTGAAGGTCTCAAGTATCTGTGAAGAGTAGAGTGGGGACATAGACTGTGGTCTAGTCATATAGGGCACAAGCATGTCATAATGAAAATGTCTGCAGTCCAGCCGCTGGTGACGCTGTTTGTCTTCCAGAGATACTGGTGACTGAATGAAGTCCTAATATATGGAGCATTTTCATTTATAGTAAGTTAAAAGCTAGGAAACTTAACTGTTTATTAAGGAAATTAATAAAAGTAGAAAAGATATAAAGGTGAGAAGAAAAAAACAGGGTAGTCTGCACCTGTAGGGCGAAATAAAGGGCTATGAATGGGCAGGCTGCGTACAGAGGCCCTTAGGATCTGGGCAGACCTGGGGGCCAGGAGCCGACCTCGAGTGCTGGTTGTGTGGATGTTTGTGACTGTTCATTAAACTATAAATGTATTTTTATATATCATTCAGTAAGTGTGATATAGCTCATGATTATAAAATAAAGAGGAATATTAGGGAATTTGTTTATATTGGGGCTTTTAAAGAATGAAACAAAGCCTGGAAAGTATAAAAGTAAAAAATCAGTAGATTTGGTTAAGTTCAAAAATTTTGTACAGTAGAAATGTCAGTAAGCAATAGCAGGCTATTAATTGTTTTTTTTTAACATTTTTTTTATTGATTTATAATCATTTTACAATGTTGTGTCAAATTCCAGTGTAGAGCACAATTTTTCAGTTATGCATGAACATATACGTATTCACTGTCACACTTGTATGTCTATGAGCTACCACAAGATCTTGTGTATATTTCCCTGTGCTACACAGTATACTCTTGTTTATCTGTTCTACGTTTTGAACTCCCAGTCTGTCCCTTCCCACCTCCTGCCCCCTTGGCAACCACAAGTTTGTGTTCTATGTCTATCCGTATATTTCTGTTTTGTATTTATGTTTTGTTTGTTTGTTTTTAATTTTAGAGTCCACATATGAGCGATCTCATATGGTATTTGTCTTTCTCTTTCTGGCTTTGCTTAGAATGACATTCTCCAGGAGCATCCATGTTGCTGCAAATGGCATTATGTTGTTGGTTTTTATGGCTGAGTAGTATTCCATCGTATAACATACCATATCTTCTTTATCCAGTCATCTGTTGATGGATATTTAGGCTGTTTTCATGTCTTGGCTGTTGTAAATAGTGGTGCTATGAACATTGGGGTGCAGGTGTCATCCTGAAGTAGGGTTCCTTCTGGATATATGCCCAGGAGTGGGATTCCTGGGTCATATGGTCAGTCTGTTCGTAGTCTTTTCAGGGATCTCCATACTGTTTTCCACAGTGACTGCACCAAACTACATTCCCACCAGCAATGTAGGAGGGTTCCCTTTCCTCCACAGCCTCTCCAGCATTTTAGCAGACTATTAATTGTGTTAACACACAACATGCTAGTATTAATTGGCACCTACAAATGAGTAATAAAAAGGCAGACAACTCAGGAGAAAAATGGACAAACATATGAAGAAGCATTTTACAGAGGAAGAAATAAAATGTCCAAAAACAGATGAAATGATGCTTGACCAAATTGTTGTCAGGGAAATGCAAAGTGAAGTAACAAGAAAGAGTATTTTACTTAAGAGAGGTATTGAAGTCAGACACCAACAGCAACTGGTGTTGGTGACATGTGGAAAAAAAGGATTCTGTCATACTTTGTGGGTTGAAATGAAAATTGTCCACATGTGTTTGGAGTTCACTCTGGTATTATGTACCAGAAATGGAAGAAAGTTATTGGAAACATTCAGCAACTCTATTTTTAGTAATTTGCCTTTACAGAGATACTGGCATGAGTGTGTAAGTGATTTTAATGACCATATAGTATTTAATTTTTTGGTTATGCCATAATTTATTTATTATTCTACTGATGTTCATATAGATAACTTCTATATTTCTGTTTCCAGCAACAGTACTGCTGGTAGCAAAGTTGTAAGAGTGAAAACAGAAACAACGTGGATTTTTAGGACTGGCTAGATGAATGACAGAACCTTACAGCAATGGCATGCTGTGTAACTTTAAAAAAATAAGATAACCTTATATAAAATGCTTAGAACCATTTTCCTTGATATTTAAAGCGATAAAGCAGGATAAGAGCACTTGAGGTATGTTTTAGCCCATTTCTGTAATCCCTCTGTGTAACGTGCACCCTAGATGCTGACTGTCTCTTAGGTTTCTTTCCAAGAGGAAAAAAAGTCCATTGGTAAATAACACACATTCATTACTAATAATTTTATTAATTTATTAATAAAATACCGAGGCTTTTATAATAGAGAAAAGAGGTCCTGCTCCGTCCACAGAATACAGGAAACAGCTCAGTCTCCTCTTACCATTCTGGCTGTTTCAGAATGACTCTGTAAGCCACCTGGTTAACCTGAGGTGCTCAGGAAAGGGCCTTTAATGCAACAGTTCAATGGGTTCTCTGGTCTCTTTTCTTCTGTTTTAAAATTATTCACAGTGAGAACTTGAGGAAGAGCAGCTGGACGGTCCCCCACACTGCTGGACCTGGTAATGGAAGTGGGACGCTCCCACCTGTACATCTTAAGCTGCTGAGTTGAAGTTCCTGAGCTAGTAGAGTTGTAGAAATGGGCTGCCAAACAGATTGCCACAGGCTGAGTGTATTAAATGACAGAAGTGTATTTCTCACAGTTTTGGAGGCTAAGTTCAAATCAGGGTTCTAGCATGGTCATGTCCTGGGAGAGCCTTCCTCCTGGTTTGCAGGTGGCCATCTTCCTGCCATGTCCTCGGACAATGAAGAGAGAGCAGAGGAAAGGAAGCAGGCGCTATCATAGAGTCTGGTGTGGCTCCATCCTCAGGGCTTAATTACCTCTCAAAGACCTACTTCTAAGTACCATTGCGTCGGAGGGTAGGGTTTTGATACATGCTTTGAGGGAACACGAACATTCTGTCCATAGCAGGACCTTTTCTCCCTCCTTGGAACTGTGTTTTCAAATTCTGACAGCAGTAACGACTGATGTTCTTTGTAATCCTTTACCATATGCAGGGCATAATTTTAAATTATGTCCTATGCTATTATCAGATTAATTTTAAAATATTGTTTATTACACCATATCACTTTTTATGCAAGCATTTTTAACTACTCTCTTGCCTATAAGAGATTCTGGATTTGGTTCTTCTAAAGCTGGCTTCTCCCAGTATACTCTGAATATTTTAGGAGTATTGACCCTCTTAAAGCAGGGCCCCTGGTTTACTTAGTTTCTCAATACACTTGATTTATTTGGCACCTTTGATACATGCTGCACATTTCTGCTATCTGCTCTTTTATCTACTTCTCATGTACAGCAATCAGTTATATCAGCATTTGGGTGTAACTTCAGCCATTTGTGATACCTTTAAATGTTTTCCTTTTTTTTTAACAGTAGAAACTGGTAATTCAGTGATTAATCGGCTTAATGCCATGTTGAGAGTATTTGGAAGACAGGCAAATACATTACAGAGGTAAGCTTTTAAAATAATTAATTTTCCTGATTATAAAAATGAGTGCATATTTGTTTTCAAAAACTTGGAAGCATAAGAAAAGAAAACCTGTGTTAAAAAGTTTAGTGTTCTTAATTTTTATGTGTATGATTTTAAACCTTAAAATTATAATAATACAGAATGTGAAATTGTATAAGCACAGTGGAAAACAGTATGATATATCCTCAAAAAATATAATCTAGCAATTCCATTTCTGGGCATATGCCCCCTAAAATGGAAATCAGGGTTTTGATGAGATACTTGTACAGCCATGTTCACTGGAGCATTATTTATGATAGAAAAGAGCTAGAAGCACCCCAGGTGTCCAGCGATGGATGAACGGATAAAGAAAATGTGATACATGCATGGAATGGAATATTCATTCATTCTTTAAAAAGAAAGAAATTCTGACACATGGTGCAACATGGATGAATCTTGAGGACATGGATGCTTGAGTACAATAAGCCAGTCGCAAAGAGACAGAATTGTATAATTTCACTTATGAGGCCTTTAGCGTGGTCAGATTCAAAGCGACAGAAAGTAGAGTGGTGATTGTCAGTGTCGTGGGGAATGAGGAGCAGGGAGTTATTTACTGGGTGTAGAGTTTCAGTTTTTTTCCAGTATGAAAAGAGCTCTGGAGACTGTACAACAATATGAATATACTTATGACTACTGAACTGAACACTTAAAATGCTTAATATGGTAACTTTTATGTTATTTGTACTTTACCGCAATTTTTAAAAAGCAGCAATATTACAGACATACAAAGAGTATAGTTTGTGTATATACTTTTCACTTAGGTATAATTCTTTGTAAAGTCATATAATTCTTTTTTAAATAAATGTTTTAAGTGAAGTAAAACATATCCAGAAAAGTTCACATCACAGCATTTTCAAAGAATTTTCTTTGGATTCAACATTGAAAAATTGGGAAATTTTACATGATCAGATTTTCTCTAATGATCAAGTTCGGTGGTCAAGACTTAATAGATGAGTGTAATAGATCAAGTGTGAAGAAAAGGATGTCCCGGGCAGCTGCTGCAGTCGGAGCTAGAGGACACATGGCTTGCGTTGTTGGGTGGCCAGGTGCTTGGTATGTAATGTTCAGGCTCTGTTTACTTTTTACCCACTTCTGTCTTATTGGAATCCTCCCTATCAGAAGGGTAAGGCCAGAACCTTCACAGATTTGTCAGATGAAAGCTTTTAACATGTTCCAGGGGCATTCTTAAAGTAGGAGGCTGGTTTCCACAAACATCCTTCCCATTGGGACAGGGTATTAAAGCACTCTGTACTACTAGTTATTCTAACTGCTCGTACTAGACTGCGGGTGCTAGTTAAAGCTAGTCTTAGAATTCCTGGGCATAACAGAGCAGTGGGAAGGACTAGTTGACTGAAGGAGAGAATTTCCAGCTTGCGTTGTCTTATTCACAGAGTCAGCCTTGAACAACTGTCTGGTCAAAATGTGCTTAGTATGTTTCTTTGCATGTTGAGAAGTATCTTGAAAGTGAGTGTGGGTGCCCCACAGTTGTTACAGGTGGCTCTTTGGTAGTTTCACTGTCGTTGAAAAAGCATGTCTCGTAGAATAAAGTCACAGGGCAGCTTTTTTCGGACTCCTTGTGCTTATTTGTATTTGCTGATTTGGGCTTACTTCCCCCTGCTCCTAGGTAAAGACTAGGACAGTACCGTGACTTCTCCGATCACTCTTAGATGATGAACTTAAATATCATTGTCATCAATATCCTGAATTGGAAATTAAAATTCCCTGTCATATATTAAGTCAGTATTTTAATTTTCATTCAGAGTTAGGACTTCTCTCCCCTTCCCCTACCCCAGTACCCCAGCTGGAGCCTGCTGGGGCATGAGGTTGGCTTTTCTCTTCCATTTCTTCCTTTCTCGCTAGTTGTAGTTTCTGTTATCCATGTTTTTGGGAAAGCAGGGAAGAAAAGTAAGGTATACAGGGAAGGTCTTCCTTGACTGTTACTGCCTGCCTTCTCCATAACATAACATCAACCAGTTTTCTGAGTGCCTCTGTAAGGCTTAAGGTAAGGGAAGTCATATCCACCCCTCCCTAAAGGGTTTGAATAGGGCTCAGGACACCACACGACCTTGAAAAGTTCTTTCTTCAATTATGGGATGAATTGGGAGTCCAACTAGAGATTGGACTGTAGGACAGTTTTTGAAGGCTTAGTGCCTCTTTGGTGAGCAGAGTGCTGAGATCTGGTGACTGGTCTTGGGAATGAAGTTGTCAGCATTGGTGAGAATATGACCCATCACCAGAAACGTGTGGTCCTGATGGGAAAGCAGGCCAAGTAAGAAATCTATCATGGCGCTTTTCCTGAGGAGGCGGAAGGGTCAGAAGTAAGGGTAAAAAGCTGTCTTGGTTTTCATACTGTCTTTAACCCAGGTACGTGTGTCACAGGTAACTACTACGTTATGTCAGAGGTGGAGTCATCATAATTCCAATGTGGCAAATTCAAAGTCTTCAATGAATTTCAGTGGCCAGTTTGGGCATTAGCAAGGCAAAGGCATCCATATGGCCCAAAAAATAATGACGGCTTGCTTCACTGCATCCAAAAAATTAAATTTAATGTTTATTACAGACAAATATAAGAAAACAAAATCGTAAACATAGGGAAGGCATCCTACTCTATCAAAATTAAAAACATCTTCAAAAATGAATCAAAGTCAGAAGATAAGCAGTGGACTGGGAGAAGATGTGTGCAGGTACAATAGAAGGAATGAGAATAAGAATGTATAATTCCACAAAAAGGGCAAGTGACCCTGAGAACTAGGCAGAGTATGTACACACACTACACATAACTTACTGACAAACTCCTAGAAAGATACGGACTAAACAGATTCAAGAACTAGGAAATCTGAATGAACTGTAACATGTTAAAAGATTTGATTGGTAATTAAAATATTTCCCAACAAGAAATGCTCAGGCTAGATGACTTCACTGGTGAGTTCCATCAGATACAGATAGACAGACAGACAGATAGATAGATAGATAGATAGATAGATAGATAGATAGATAGTTATAGTCAGTTTACAATGTTGTGTCAATTTCCAGTGTAGAGCACAATTTTTCAGTTATACATGAACATACATAGATTCATTTTCACGTTCTTTTTCACTGTGAGCTACCACAAGATCTTGTGTTTATTTCCCTGTGCTATACAGTATAATCTTGTTTATCTATGCTGCATATGCCT